TAGAATTAATTTTAACGTACTGCAATTTGTAATATTTTAAAAATTAGATCCAATACATTTAATTTGAATTTAGATTTAAACACGTATATAATATCGTTAAATTTTTATCATAGGCAGTTTGACATTTTTCAGTTGGTGGTTCAAGCATAGTTAATACCCATCTACCTACCAAAAGGTCGTATTAGGTACAAAAATTTACCTAATTTCCATTAAATTACCAATTTTATATTATTTACTGCTGCCAGTTGCCAAGATCAAGTACCATCTATTAAAATGACACCCACCTCAAACTTTTTGGCAGTTTAGTGAACCACAAAATTCATTATTAAGCCGCCTCTGATTTTTATTATAAATCTTACAAAAATAAAAATCGACACTTAATAACAATGATCATGTAATAGCATAGAGTTTAATTTTACATATTATATTTAGGCACTAATTATGAATAATGGTCAATAACTTCTCTACAATATAATATAAATTGTTAAATAAGAAGTCAATAAAAGTATTGTAATTATCAATACATAACTTTTTTAGTTTTAAAAGCAGTTAATTAATATGCATATAGTATAAAAGAGTAAAAGTATAAAAGTATAATAGCTAAATGGACGAATAAATAATTTACTCTACAAATAATATTATAAAAAAATCGTCAAATATCAATGTCCACACAAAAATGCATAGGATTCATAAAATATTGAAACATACTTAATATAACATGATAATTAAATGATATATATAGAATAGTTTTGCAAAAAAAAAAAAACACGTGCACAATGTCAATAAACCTTCCCTACAATTTCAAATCTATCGGTTGAACGGTCCAAAACTATTATGATGTCCTTGCCCCACGCAGTTCTTGGTAGGCCTTATAGTAATCACAATAACTTTGTGGCTTACGTGCGTACCGTAACGTAACTCTTATTTTCGATTGTTATTTTCTTGTGCAGAAATCAAAATTAATTTAGAGGCTGGTACGAAAATAATACCGGTAGAAGATAAAAACATCCAATAATGGTCATGGTCGAAGGACAACCGGTTGTAAATACACACGCAGGATAATAATACACAGTAAATACAATATAAAATTTAATGTCTCCAGAACATTTTTTACCTGCTCAAGTGTATTGTACAGGAGAGTATTCTCTATGTACTAAAGTATATTTAAAATTAGATTTATAGTTATCAATCATAGTTGGAAACACTTGCAATGTTAACTTCATTATTGATAGAAAAATAAATATCAGTAATTTTAAAATTAGTAATTAATGCCTATTTTTTTTATTAAAACAAAATATATTAATAAATTAAATAACATGTTGATTTGTGTTGATTTGCATATGCCTAGTATGATAAAAACTGCATTTTGATATATATATATATATATATATAATTATATTTTAATTTTTTTGCCATTAGTTTACAAGTAGCACCACCAAAAACATTTTGTGACCCAATGTTAGGTCGCGACCCATTAGTTGGGACGCGCTGCTTCTAAGCAGTCAGAGATTAAACACAATTTCAATATTTTTCTTAATGATTATTTTTTTAATATTTGATTAAACACATTTGATAAAGTATTTTGTTACAATATAAATTTAAGCTTCAAATCTAATAATTGAAGTACAGTTGGATCTTGTTAATCCAAATGGATTTTAGAGTTATCACACCAATATGTTTAGTAACATATTTTCCCATAAACCCACTTAATAATAATTACTAAGGTATATCGCACATGAATAACTGCGGAATAAAGTTTTTGATCAGTATATAGGAACCAGTGTTTAAAAGAAACATCTGAATTATGTAATGACTATGTAATTTAATATTATAATCATTTTTTTCATTCCATTAATTTTAATTTATACTTCAATTTTTTACTATAACTATGAAACTAGAAAATCAATTTCATTTAATTATTTTTTTAATTTAATAATTTAAGTTTAAATTTCAAGAAAATTGGTTTTAATATTCTGAACTATTTTTTTCCTAATTCTATTTGAATTAACAAGACCTCACTCAATATTCTTATTAATAAGTGAATTGATAAAAATATTTTATGATCTATACAATTATTGATTAATTAAATAAAAATATATTTGTGTTCATAACTTACAAAGAAGTTGTTTTTACTATTAAATTAGTTTGGTATTAATAAAATACAACAAATGTTGATTTTAATAAGTAGATAATTTAAATACCTAATTCATTTAGTTCTATAATTCAATATCTGATTATACAGTTATAATTAATCTAAACAATGAGGATCATGGTAATGAGAAAGTGGCAGTAATTGAAAGTAGTGCACTCATTTTTTTTAATAGCAGCATAAAGAACAGCAACACAACACTAGTAAGCTACAGTAGAACCCCTCTAAACTGTCATCTTTGTGACTGAGGGTGCGGTCAGAATGTAAAAAAGGTCAGATTATCAGAATATACAGAATATTTGAATACAAAATTTTATCAAATTTATTTATTAAATTATTTTAAATTATATACATATATTAAATTAAATAATTATATAATAAAATAAATAAAACATAGATAAACAATAAACTGGCAATTAATTTTATAAATATATAGCTACAAACTATTAATTAGAAAATTCAAATCTACATACTTTGAAAATAATCATATCAATAATCCTATTGTCGGATCAACCAGTATGGCGGAATAGCCAAGGGCGAATGAGAGGGGTTCTATTAAATTTTGTTTGTTTCTTAGATTTTATGTTCAAATTAGGATTTATGATTATAACTTAAAATTACAAAAGTAAATAAGATATTTTACAGTGCATTATACTTATTTACATAAGAATAGCAATTATTGAAATGAGGTTTTTTTCTTAATTATATAGAGGAAACAGTGGCAAACTCTATTAATATTAATAATCCAAACTAGTGGATAATAGCATATTATTATAATTTAAGTCAATCTTAGTTTTAAATTAAAGATCACGAATAAAATATAATAAATACTTAAATATTTTTAACTGAAGAATTATATTCTTAAGATATTAGTCTTTACTCTAAATGAAATTCATGAGTCTGGCTAACAGAAAGCACATTTTGTTTTTTTTGGACTCTATGAGTTTGGCACTATTAATATGAAATCCATTGGCTCAAAAACAGCAATAATAATAGCAATAGAATTAGCATAGTATTGATTAGACTTGAACCATAATTAAATAATATTAGGAACTTTTAAAGAACTAACTTATAAAAAACTTTTAAAATTTGATGAAGATGGTAAATCTGAAATAGTTATTGATGACACTAATGTCTTGGAAATATATCATAATAATTAATATCCCAGAATTATAAGTTTGTAATAATTGTATAATGTATTATTAAAAATTTAAAGTAAATATATTATGTAGGTACAATATAGAAATCACATGTTATGATATTTTATCATAAATATTACATATTACATGCTAGAAATTGAATTTTTTTTTAAATAATTTTTATGAACACTACCTATAAGTTAACAAAATTAATTTATTTTTCAATAGTCATAGAACATTTGAATAAAAACAAGTTTAATTATATACATGCATAAACAAGTTATGTATACATATATGATTATCACTTCTGGATTTATAAAAAAAAAAAAAAAACAGTCAATACCCCTATATTAGTATTAAATATCTAGTTCCATCTTATAATTAAATAACCTCAATTACATTATTCTAATGTAATTAATAATACCATAGATATAATTATACTAAATGAAAGTGGAAGAATAGTAAGTTGATTTGTACAGTAATTTATATGATTAAATTATTGATACAGGCGTATAATAGAGATAGATCTCCCACAAAAGCTCATTGTTTCTTCTTCTAGGCGATTTTCAATTATAATATTATTTTTGTCTTTCAATAATATTTAAAATATTTAAAAGTGTGACAGAAATAAATAAGTCAATTTTGTTATCAAAGTAATTAGTAGATAAATATCTTACCCATAATAGAATAATCCCTAATACATTACTGAATAATAATTCTAAATAAATATACAGGTCATTGAAATTTTATAATTTGACCTGAATTTAAAATTATTTTAGCCTTCAATGCTAAAATGCTGTAGTAACTAAAAATAAATTTAACTTATGGCATTTTAAAGAAGTAAACAAAACAATTTATGTTCATTGTACTTCAATTGCTAAAATCATTCAAGTAATCCGTTTTGCCTGCATAATTATATATATTAAGCTAACTAACTAGGTAACAACTAAAGACTAATCTTGTGAGTGTCAATGTAGCTTTATAATTCAAAATCTTGTATGTTTAAAGTTTACTTTAATTACCAATGTAATTTACTGTTTCAATTGTTTGTAAAAGGATTGTTTTATTTCTATTTTAATTAAAAATGGCCAAAACTTGAAAAATTAACTTTAATTAATTAATTAATTAACAATAATTGATTTATATCCAATCAATAGATGAAATAAAAATTATTTTATTAGTGGAAAACAATATAACATGAAATCACAATTAGTAAGCATACAATAAATGAATCACATAAAATATTAATCACCATTATTAAAATTCATTAATTTAAAAAAAAAATGTCAGAAGATTAAACCTTGGAAATACAATTTAGATGGAAACTTGATGGGTTATAAAAAATGAAGTTGGATGAATTAATAAAATATTAAAACAAAATAAAAAATAGTAAAACTTCAATTATTTTAAAGGGTAGGAGATATTTCATGTAACAAGGTAATTATTATAAACGTTATATAGGTGAAAAAAGTTTTTGTTAACTGCATTGTTAATTTTGATAAGGATTGTATGTATATATAAACTATAGGTCAAATATATTTATATGATATTCCTACCTGAGACACTGAACGAGCCCCATTGACTTGGTCGCCTGGCTGCCTACACCACATTGAGAAAACGTTAGTATTTGAGTGCTGGAGTGTCGGCCACCAGCGCCGCTCAAGGTGTTATATTGTCGTCGCTGCAACGACGATATTGTCTTACATGTCATGCGGCTGCCACCGCTGTCTTCAGATGCAATTCTAGGTACATAATCATAACGCATAGCACCAAAGCTAGATGATGACTGCAACCTAGTCTTAACTACTTCCAACGGACATGTTACCACAGCACCAGTTGTGCCGGCCAACCTGGAACATATTGAAAACACAGATTAGTACACCACACACACATTAAGGTAAAAAAAAAGTCTAATAAACATTATGTAACATTCATTACCCTCCAGACACGAGATGGATGACCGTCTCACGAGAATGCGACATGATGGTTCAGTCTTCAAGCACACATTATAGGTAGAGACAAGCTTCAGGACGGTTGAATTGATATAGACCAAAAAAAAAATCCAGGCACTGAAGTTTGAACAGCGTAAGTTTAAAAAATTCACCGAACCACGTATCACGGTTAAAAATATTGATATTTTTAAATCGCATAAACAGACCAGTCATGAATAATTTTATGGAGAATGACACGAACACTCATAATTCGTAGACAATAGCAAAGGTGTGGAGAAGTACAGGATATTCCAACGGACGGAACAGTAAGACGAAAGATAGCTGAATGATGACTGACGGCGAACCAGGCGGTTTAGAGTTCAGTGGTTTGTTTGCTGTGCGCGGCGCGGTGTTATAACGCCCTATCAAGTGACCGCGCATGGCGCATTATGTTACGCTACGAAAACACGAGTGGTAGGTCAGCTGATACGCAACATAATCAGTGGGACCACATTGCGAGCACGCGCAATCTCTTTTCTTATCTGCTTGCCTGTCCGTGTTGTTCGCATAGATAATGGAGTAATTCTATTATCTATGGCTTTCGGTAAATATTACTTTTAATCACTAATTTTTAGTGATGGTAAACTGTGATTTATTTTTCAGTAAACCCGTTCTTTTACTGGAGCAACGCGATGTGGTTTTATATAAATATCGCGTAATTATTGTTTGTTTTATAAAAAAAAAAAATACATGGGGATCTCCCCTTGACGCGACAAAATAGTAACTAATCGAAAGCGATTAGTGTTGTCAGCGCTTAATAAAAGTTGCCATTATAGCACTTCGTTGATCACATTTATTTTATTTTATATTTTTGTTAATAAATTTTGTATGATTATTAATTTATAATAATTATGGCAAAAACCAAAGACGAGTGTATCGTAACTATAAATCTAAAAATCTTAAAAATTTAAATTTGACATCATCTTGTACTAACTCGTTAGCGGAAATAAAAATACTGTTTTAAAGGGGGTTGAAAGTGAACCGTTTTTAAGGGGTTGAGTAGAGGCAATATTTTATATTCATTGGGAATTGCTGTATGTGTGTGTGTGTGTGTGTGTGTGTGTGTGTAGTAACTGATCATTAGTGTACGTGAGTTCCTCGAACGCGTAATTATTACGTATTATCAGTAAACAGTTCAACAATAATTTTATTACTGTCACAGCGCGCATTGTATTGTATCCTTGTCCAGTATTTACAACTGCTGTAACCACTACTGTATTTATGCACACAGACGAAGAATAGTTACATTCAGTTGTTATGACTTCTAATTTGTTGCAAATTACGATGTTTAAAAATAAATTCGGAATAAAAACCATTTTTTTTTATCATTTATTAAAGTTAGATCTTTAAATGAGCAGCCAAAAAGTGAGTGGTTGATTTTTTTTTTTGCAAATTAATTAATTTAGTATTAAAAAAATTTCATTGAAGTTGTATTCTTATTAATCCAATAACCAACATTGAAGCAGGGATTGGTACTCCCGTTCTCAATTATTTTATTTAAATGGTTCAAGTTCCGGTATTATAAGGTTCTAAATAAAATTTTTTAAAATGAATTCCGTAATATTTTTTGATACACATTTAAAAATAACATATATTATATTATATATTACGTTACCGGTATAATTATATTATACTAAGTAATATGGCATAATATACTCGTATGAAAATAAATGTCTCAAAATGTTTCTCTTCAACTAATTCATATATATATATATATATATATATATATATATCGCAATAAGTTTCTTTTAATAGCTATATAGTAATGTATAATTTTATAGTATTATAATTAAGTCTAAAAATAGTATTTAATAATATGAGAAAATATGCAAAATAAAATTTCATTTTTGAATTCATTATGTTGTTATTCAAATTTGAATCTATAATAATAAATAATAATAATTTATTTGGCCAAAAACAGAGTTTTTAAATTTTGAAGAATAGTAATATGTATAAATTAAATTAAGTTTTAACTATACATAATAGGATATGTTGCCCAATTCACCACTGAGATAACCCTCGTATTGGTAAAATTGGAGTATTAACCTGTTTAGCCTTTAGTCGTTCATTTATCATTACATAATATTAAAAATTAAATTTTTAAAAAACTTGTATCTCAGTAATTTATTTATGCTTTGAAATTTTAAGAATAAAAATATAATTAATAATGTTTATTACATTTGATATTTTTTCATTTTATAATGAGGGTTCCGGTTCTGTTGTGGTTCTTTGATATGTAAAAATTTGGTTCTGGTTCCTAATATTTTAAGGGCTCTTGGGTTCCAGAACCGGTTCTTTTGGGTTCAATTCCAGCCCCTGCATTAAAGTATAGTTTAGGTACATATAAATATTAAGCATACATTCTTCTTAGAGTAGTAAGGGGGTAGGGCGTGAACTCATAAAATACTATTAAATGGGGCGCGGACTATTTGAAATATATTGTCCTTAAGTTTTGCTTGCAATGATTATAAAAAAATCGAGCGTAAGTCAATTAAACATTTTTTATGAACGTCTAAATTTTCAATTTTTATGAGTCTAAATTTACATCCGCATTACACTCTATGATCGAGGCTCACTCTTCCCCTACTGTACGTTTGTACAGCAGAGCGAGTTCTCAAATTTTTACTTTTGACTACCCAAAGCACCAACTAGATTCACTTTGTTACCAAAAATCACCCTGGGTTTTTAAAATTGAAGCACATTTACTGCCCCAAAACATGATGACAGACACACAAAAAAAATATACACATATACTCGTGTACTGAATAATATTTAACTAGCAGCTATGTATCATTATTATTATTCTACTGCTATAATATTAAGTAATAGATTTCTTATCGTCTATATAATAGTTATAGCTAAGATTCTCGGAAACCTGTATGGCTTATCTACGCTCTATCACTATATTTGCGATTGAAAATGTTTTAACTCCTATGGGGCAACAAAAGTCCCAAAAAGCAGAAAAAAAATTCACCTATTACCAAAAGCCTGATTTTAATTTTGAAAACATATTTAAATTTATTATTCTGTTTTCTAGGGCATGTAGGAAATAGGTTTTCGATTTTTTCTATTGTTTAATTATTATAGTACCAAATTAATTTTCTTTTTTTTCCTAAATTCACTTTTACTTTATTGTTATTAAAAAACATAAAATAAAAAATTAATTTCCTACATAATACAGACAAGGAGTAAATAAATCCAAACATTTTTTCAAAATGAAAATTGGACTTCTGGAAGTGTATTTTTTTTAATTTTGCTTATTGGTCTAAATCAGTGGTTCTCAACCGGTGTGCCGTGAGTGCCCTTTAAATGTGCCGCGATAAATTTTTAAATTGTTTTATAAGTACATTTTTACCAGTTTATTGTTGATATTCGAAATGAAAACTGATAGAACTTATCGTAGATACATATAATATTATTTATAGTAAGTATGCCCGTCACAGCCGTCTCGATCGATCGATTATTGTATTAATATATTTTACAATAAATAACCCTCTAATAGAGTAGACTGTAAATAGTATACATATATATAGATTGGTGTGCCGCGAAAAGTTTATTGGAGATGAAGTGTGCCGCATTGTTAAAAAGGTTGAAAACCACTGGTCTAAATGCACGAAAAAACGATTCACTTTCAACCGCATTAAGGAAATTACTGTCAAGATAAATAGTGAAAAGACGATCACTATTTCAAAGGTCGTTATATTTTCAAAGACACTACTGAAATATCGTGCATAGCTAAAGAAAATATATCCAACTGCAAGTGCATTAGCAGAAACGACAGCATTTATGTTTAAGAAAAAATAAATAATAAGTTTGGGCATTCAGAAAATAATATTTTGTATGCAGAGGCAGTAATTTCGGATCCTCGTTTCAAAAAATATGGTTTTTTCAACCAAATCGGGTTTGTGGAGGAAAAAAAACTAATTATTAATAAAGCTAGTAACACCAATTTTGAAACCCAAATTCAAACTATTACCACCAACATCGAATAATGATTCAATTTGGAACGATTTCAACCATGAAGTACACAGCCTCGTACAAAGTAGTAATCCAAAATCAGCGCTTATAATCGAAATTGATAAATATATGTTAGAACTGTTAGTATCACAAACAGAAGATTTATTATTATGGCGGAAAGACAATATAAATGTTTACCTCATGCTTTTCCAATCATGAAAAAAAGATTGTGCAATTTGGCCTCTTATTAGGATTAAAACTGGATTATAAATGTATAAAAAATGTATAACAAAAATATGTAACAAAAAACACAATATGATCATATTTATACTTCTTGTACATAACAGCACTCGAAAAGGCGACTTATAAAATCATATTATCTCCTCGATCTAATTTTTTTTTAATACCATTACATTTAGATTTGACATACAGTTAAACTATGGTTATAAATTTATTATGTTTGTAGTATTTAAAAAATTTTTTAAATTCAATTAACTAAAACAATTTTTTTTCAGATGTATTTTACATAAAAGTTTAATGTATAATTTTAGATTTAAAATGATTAAAAAATTATCCAAGTATATTTTTATATTTATATTATTCAGTAATTGTCTATTTACTTTATTTTATTTTTTGCTTTGTCAATATTTGTATGAAATGAAATTATCTTAAAATGTACTATATCATTTTTATAATAAATAAATAATAATTCAATATTTTTATTTATACTGTCCATATAAGGTTAGATAATAAAAAGTTATTAGATATGATTTCTTATAGAACTACAAATTAAATAAAAAATCAAATGTTATATTTAATTTTTGATAGTACTATGTGTTAAGTAAACACACAGTACTATAATTTTATTTTACTACTATTTTGAATTTTGCATGTAGATGTTGATGAGAGAGATAAAGGCACGGTCGGTGACAGACGTTTCGATAACGGCTGCCGCACGACGAATGGATCTTTGCAGGAAAAAAATTTTTGTGGCCGTGTATAACATTGCCTACATTTAGACCCTTTTTTGCAGCTATCAAAATGTGATAACATTGATAAAACGATAACATCATTTTTATTATAACAATTTTATATTTTGCTAAATTTAAATTTAAATACTTAAATACATTAATAGTTGAATAAATTTAATAATACACAATTCAAAAAAAAAAAACACAATATTCACTTACGATCGTCATTTAAAAAGTACAATTCAAAAGGGGTGTAGGTAAATTGTGTCTCAAATGAATTTATCTTTTTTCGAAATAGGTAAACTGAGTCCCTCGTATAATAGTTAAAACGGCAAACTGAGTACCGTCTAAAATATATAATGTATTAAATTTATTTAAATGTATTTAAATTATAAATATAATCGGTGATATAGTTATAAATTCACCGAGTACGATAGGTAAGTGTATCTTATCGTTACATCGTT